GAAATTCTGGTTTGCCACAGGTGGAGCAGGGTTCTGTATCAGCAGAGGTCTTGCCTTGAAGATGAGTCCCTGGGCCAGGTAAGCAATGTTCCTAGCTGAGCTCCATTGATACATGTTTGGGCGGCTTTAAAATACATTTTCTCTTGTCTCCCGCACTCTGTCTCACAGCCTGGGCAACTTCATCAGTACGGCAGAAAGGGTGCGTCTTCCTGACGACTGCACCATTGGCTATATCATTGAAGGGCTGCTGGAGGTAAAGCTGCTGCACAGCCCATTGTTCCATTCCCACCTGGAAAATCTGCAGAGACTGCAAGGCGAGTCTGTGCTGCAGCAGGTAGGGCTATGCCTCATGTCTTATCCTTATAATTATACCTCAGTCTGATCAGAAAGAGTATTCTGCATAGATGTAGCACTCTTCAGCAAAGAAGGATGTCTACAGACTCACTCAGAGCTGTGTTCTGCCCGAGTCCTTCATTTAGGTAAAAAGCATGCTTTCATCCTAGCCAACTAGGTCATATGGCTGTCCCCTCGTTTGGGGACACATTATGCTACATGAAGTCCAAATAGAGTATTTCCCATCTCCTTCTAAGCCCTGACTTTCTGTAAGTGGCAGTAGCAGTAAGTGTAGAAGGAGGCAATATTTAGTTTGCTAAACAGTCTTCCTGGTTTTGCCTAACAAAGTCTCAGTCTTAATTCGTGCTGTTTAAAAATGTAGCTATAGCAAGTACTTCTTCGATAGCTAAGACTATTAATGTTCAATCATTTTTAAGAATAATTTGTCTGAATCTCAAGAAATTTAATGTTTCTTAGGAAAAATTAAGTAGTTTTATAATTGCTGAGATATGTTTTTCCTCCTGGGCAGCAGATGGAGCCAAAAGGCCATCCATCAGCTTTGCTTGCCTCCTGCTGCTTGGCACCATGAGAAAACGGGAGTACTTTTTTGCCCCTGCAAGCTGCTTGGTTATATTTTCCTGGCAATTGTATTAGGCAGCAGAAATGTGCACTTGGGGCCAAATTCCACTGTGATGTAATCTCCTTCACGTTAGTGGGTTGGACTGTAGGCTTAATACTGTGTTTCATTGGTGATCGATGGCTTCCTGAGATGGTAACAGCTAACCCAAAATCTGTAACCATCTCTGCTCCAGTAAGGAATCCAGTCTTAGCTAAAATGTGGGGATGAGTGCACGGAAGGGAGCACAACATAAAGCAGCACAAGATGTCCAATTAGAAAGAAAACATAAGTCTTCTTGTACCTGGCACCTGAAAATTTCTTAATACAGTGCTTGTGTGGAAGAATAGCACTGAACTGAGGTTCCAGAGATCTAAATTGTGTTCCAGGTTTTTCACATGACAGTCCTTTGTGTGCCATTTAACCTGCAGATGTTTCTGTTTTCCCTCTATACTAAAGCATCGCTATTACAGACTTCAGGCAATGGCTGGTGAGGATGAACATGTGTTATTTAGTGAAGGTACAGACAGGAGCAGGATTAATGTCCTCACAAAGCTTACAATGGGAACTCATCCTTAAGGGCAATGCAACTTTCACATCCTCTGTGTATTCTCCCACATTGCCTTTAGTGCCATTCAGTGCCAATATTGTTTATGTCACAACTAACCACTGTCCTCCAAATGTGGTCCATGTTCAGATTAATCAGCATCCTTGGAGACTTTCTTGGTATCTCGCTAATAACCCTGCTACCTCCACTCTGTTTTTCTGTATTAGTGTTACCATTTTGTAATATTTATTTGTTTTTACAGGTAACCTTGAGTTATGGGGACCCTGAGAACAAACACAATGTTGTGAGTGTGGGAGGAGTGTTTGGCCTTCAGCAAGATCCAACCCGGTGAGTGTCCACTTCCAAAACAAGATCTCCATACCTTGTTCATGTTTATCATCTGTCAGATGATCAAACCCACTAATGGGGTTATTTTCTCTTGTCAGCTCTTGTTGCTGTGGTAGAAGTGGGTAGACCCACCCTCTCTGCTCCGTCAGACTGCTGCACACTCAATGCTAGTATGTTCCATGTATGGAGAATTCCAATCTAATACTGTCTTTTTTTTGCCCCCCTTAGGTTTAAATCTGTCCATTGTCTGCTTTATCCTGACACTATCTGGTGCCCTGCTAAGAAGATGTCATAACTCTTGACCAGCCACTGACACCTGTATATTACCTAGTTTGCATAAGGCAGGAGTTGTGGTGGACTTTTTGGTGGTTTTATTCTTCTTCTGGGAGACAACCAGTGTTACCTACAAAGGAGATAGACAGACTATTTAGAAAAGCAATAAGGTGTGGTTTGTTCAGCTGCAGCATGGAACATTCCAGAAAGAATCTTTGTTCTTTCCTTTGGTGGCTTTTCATAAGATGACCACAGTGCTGTGTGTACGAGTCACTTTACACTTTCTTCTGATGTCATGTGAACCTCTGCTTGGGCACATCTGAGGGAAATGCAGTACTGGGAGTGAGACTGTTCGTACTGCCCTTAGAGGCTTTTAGAAGCCGTTGTCTTGAAGCTGGAGTGCTAGAGCAGTCTGTAGTCCCCATGGTGACGAGAGGGGAAGTTTTCGCTCATCTTTCTTGGGAACAGAATTATTTAAGAGCTTCATTGGCCTGCCAGATTAAAACTCCGCCCTTGGGCCAGAATAGGGTCTGTTCTTAGATACAGAAATCCTGGAATCACTAGGGTGAACAAGGCTGAAGGCCCCTGTAATGAGAAAACTGTGTAAGGGTAAGCTTACTCAGGACTGGATAAGAGTTGCTTACAGTGCACATCCTCCCCTGTTGTCCACGTGTACCTCCTGTGGAGGTGATTGTCAGACCTGGCTCGCCTGCCAACTGAACTGCAGTGGCTGATGATTATGATGGTGGTCTGCCAGGTGCGAGACTATTCCCTTGATGTTTACAGTGAAGAAATATTTGCCAGACAAGATGATAATCTTTTTTGCCGCATTGGCTGTAGTCGGTCGCATGAGCTGGCACAGCTTGGGCTGCCAAAACACACCCTGTTTCTGAAGCTGTCTGAGGGAGGAGAAATGCTAGATAGCTGCAATGTGCTGCAGAAGGTCTTGATGGTGTCATTTGAGAACCTTTAATTGTATGACCACAGTTACTCCAGCTTCTTCAGATAATCTTCCAATTAACATAAGGTCAAGATCAGTGCTTATTTTTTTTTATTTATTCCTTAATGTTTTGATAAATAGTTCATTTAGTCACTTAAAAGAGCACATTATGAATGTGGTCATTCACACAGAGGCAGAAGTTCAGTGCTGTAGCAGTATCATCTGCTACTGCTTTTTAAAGAAAGTAAACAGTTTTGAAAGTGCAAGGAATGGGGCTCCATATGTTTACTTTTCTGTTAGCCCAGACTTTGGCCATGTGCAATCCCCACCTGACCTGAGGAACAGCATGAAATATGACTTTGCGAAACCACTGTTCATTCTTTCAAACTCTTCAAAAAATACTTGCTGGTTTAGTGCTAGAGTCTGAGGCTGAATTAGGGGGAGAATAATGGAATTACAGTGTGTGATTGGAACTATGATTGCTGGCTAGAATGTGGACCTAGCAGAAGTTTCAGATTTCTAAACAGCTGTGCTCAGCTGTACTGTGGACTTCAGCTACTTACTTAACTTCCTGGCAAATGCCTGCAGTGTATTCTAGGATGCCACTTTGCAAAGGTGTCAGCCTTCTGAAATACACTGTTTCCTGCATTCTGCTTTTAACACAAAACTTTCAGCATTTACCTCAGTACATTGTCCTCTTTGCATGATTTTAGTTAGTTCTACTGAGGAACAAACAAGTTGACTTCTGTTACAGTCCTGCAGTTCATTTTTATATTTCTCCTTTCTGTCATATGTCCTAAGGTGACTGTGAGGTATGGGAGTAAGAATACTGCAGGGAATTGGCTCAAAGTCAAGCCAAGCACAGTTGAACAGTGACTGTTCCATAACAGGGTTTCAGTGTTGTAGGTGTGCCTGGCACAGAAAACAGAGGAGGACTCGAGGAACAGTAGGTTCTGCCTCCTTATTACATCTTCTGCTAACTAGAACTGAGGCACCCTGTGGTTTAATGATTGATCATTAATAGCTCTGGAAATTCCTGGTATGTCTATAATTTTTAAAAAGCACTTGTTAGGTTCTTGGTTTTAACATCCTGCAGAAGAAAAATGAAACTTCGTGACCTCTTGAGGCAATTTTGTCTTCGAGCACTGATTCTGAACTCTTCTGTTGGAGCTTTTCTTCCCCTTCCGCTGGAAGCAGCCTTTTCTAAGATAACACAGACAGCATGGACTGGGCAGCAATTGTATGGCAAACTGCAGTTAAAAAATTACAACGCTTCATATTGATGGCACCAAAACTACGTAGAAGCTTCACATTGTGCTCACTGGTCAACCTAAAATAAGTGTGCCAAAGAGGCGGTGCCCTCAAAGTGGGGAGGGTGTTAAAAAGGACCATGTTCTCCTGCAAGGCAACAGGGAACTAACTAACTGTTGGGTGTGTTCAGGCTCCTTCCATGGTTTCCTGTGTTGAGAATACAGTAAGCTGTGTGGATCGATCAGGATGCAGCTTTTTAATAAAACTTTTTCATACATAAAGTGATTCTACAAAAATAAATATTTAAATATGCAAATGTCATGTTTCTTCACGTGTGTTCTATACCAAAAATAGACCATAAACCCTCTAATCCAGAAATCTACAGCCTTCTGTCAGGCTCATGTGATACCAGTGGCCAAAAGCAGGTGAGATAAATGACTTGGATGTGTGGGAGAGCAAATAGGGATGAGAAGAATCCTTCCAGATGATAATTAACAAAGCCAAAGAATTGAGATAAGGAGGACATTAGTTGTCATCTTCATCAGCAAATTCGAATGGGTGGAGTAGGCAGGTCTTTTTCATCAGCCGCTAAAAAGCCCGGTTTGCTGTGGACGCTCAAGGTGATACTTTAGTGAGACTCAGTCAAGAAGCTTCAGCTCTGCGAGCCTGTCTCTTACTGGGTGAGCCCCGAGATGGCTCCGCGCTTCGTTCCGCCGGGGCAGCGCGGACGGACCCCGCTGCCTGGCCCGGCCCTATCGGTCCGCCCGCTCCTGGGCTCCTCCTCGGTCGCGGGCCCGCCCCGGGCACAGTCCGCCCGCAACATGGAGCCATATCCCAGCTTCCGCGGCCGGCGGGCCCTGGTCACTGGGGCCGGCAAAGGTGGCCAGGGCTGGGGGCCGGGGGTCGGGGCGGGCCGGGGTCCGGGCAGAGCCGGGTATGACGCCGTGTCCCCGCAGGGATCGGACGCGCCGTGGCCGTGGCGCTGAGCAGGGCCGGGGCCCGCGTGACCGCGCTGAGCCGAACCGCGGCGGACCTGGAGAGCCTCGCGCGGGAGGTACGGGCCACCCCCCTGTCCCGCCCGGGATAAGCCTCCCCGGGCCCCCTGGCTGCCACGCGGCCTCCCACCCACGCGGCCGCCCTCGCCGCAGTGCCCGGGCATCGAGCCCCTCTGCCTGGACCTGGCGGACTGGGACGCGGCGGAGGCGGCGGTGGCCACGGCGGGGCCCTTCGAGCTGCTGGTGAACAACGCGGCGGTGGCGGAGCTGCAACCCTTCCTGGAGGTGACGCGGGAGGCCTTGCAGCGGTGAGTGCCTGGCCCCGGCCTCCCCGGCGGCTCCACGGGAGGCTCTGGGACCGAATCTGCCCCCCCTCCAAGGCGTCACACAGCTGTGAACGTCAAAAACGGTGGCAGGACTTTTCAGAAAGGGGGATCTTGAGAGGGGAAGCAACAAGAAAGGACAGCAGCTGGTGCACAGACACCAGACAGGCTGACATGTACACTTTTAGAAATGCCGATTGTTGCTTGATTGTTACTCCGTATGCTCTACGTCCTTTTTCTTTACTGTCTGTTCATTCCTTACATAATCACCTTTCCCCCTGTAAATAGCAAAAGGAAACCAAGCACTGGGTATTACACCTGTTTCTCAGTAGCCAAAACCTGCAGTGTCACCTCCGGAATGGTGGGATGCACCTGCCATCCCGTGGGCACGAGAGGAGAGTGCCTTTGCTGCTCATGAAGCTCAGAGCTTCCAGTCTAGTTCCAACTCGGCCCCCGTGAAACTGAAAGGCAGTCATCACTAAGACAATTCAGAAATAGAGAAGACAAAGGCAGGTAAGGGAGCATAAAACAGTCATGGTGGGAAATTAAATTTGCTTACTACAATAACATGATGTTTTTTCTCTGAAAAGCTCCATAGTCTGGGAGCGAGCTTTAGGATACAGGCTATGTGTGAGTCCACGTCATTCTGAGAGGATGGGTCATGCTTTGTCCCTATGTTAAAAATGTCTTGAGAGTCTCTAATAAAGGATTCGTTTGCGACTAGAACATAAAAAGCGTGGATTCTGCTGAGACTATTCGGTGGAACTGACCTGACAAAGGACGGACAACGTGGCAAACAGAAGAAACGCTGCCTCTACCTGCCTTACAGCAGATTTGCTCTTTAGAGCTGGGTGAAAGATTTGCTTGACCTAAGAGTTGCCACTGGCTGAGCCTCAAGGGCTTAGTGTTTAAACTTTGTCAGAGGAAACTCCATTAGGCTTATGAAGGACAGAGTCCTGAGGGAAACGTACCAGTGCACAACTGCACCTCCCTCAGCAGCGTCTTGCCTGCGGCTGATGGACTGTTCACTGCCGAGAGCAGACCTGAACATCCTGGCTTGCCCGACAGCTTGGAATTTCTGTGTCTTAGAGCATCACCAGTGTTTCCAAGAGACCAGCAGCATTTGTCCTCTGCTGCCTCTCAAAACAGCTGTCTGGTTGGGCCTACAACACTCTGTAACTTTTAAATTTGATTTTATTTGTAGGTCTCTTGATGTGAACTTTGGGGCTGTTCTTCACGTTTCCCAGGTGAGGAAGAATTGCCACTGCAGCTGTCTCCATGAATAGCAGTGACTGCTGTACATAGCACAGACAGTTGTCCACTATGAGGACTAAAGGGAAGCAATCCAAAGTCACCCTGACAGCCTGCATGTACAGACCCTTCACGCTTTGACTCTCCTGTAAGCAGGAGTCAGGGAGGACTTACTTCCTTCACATGGTTTTGCTCTTTTGGCTACTGTAGATTTCTCCTTAAGATTCTGGCATTCCTTTTTTTTACCTCTTCTTCCCCCTCCCAGATCGTTGCTCGGCAGATGATCAAGCAGGGAGTGGCAGGGGCTATTGTGAATGTCTCCAGCCAGGCCTCGAAGCGTGCCCTGAGGGATCACGCTGTTTACTGTAAGTATGCACGCAGCTTCACACGTGTCCCTCTTGAGCTTTTACCAGCTGAAGACCCACAGCCACCAAGCTGCCAGCTCCCAGTTCGGGGCAGTGAAATGTCCCAGTGTGTTCCAGAGCAGGTGCTTTTTTAGGCGCTTAAAAAGGCTCCTGTTCTTCCCTTCCCTTAAAGGTTCCACAAAAAGTGCTTTGGATATGCTGACCAAGGTAATGGCAATGGAACTGGGACCCCACAAGGTAGGAGTCTATGAGAGAAAGTGCGAAAGCTGAACCTGAGCGTTTCCTCAGAGGAGCTTGCTTAGATTGACTGTTGCTTCTGGTCTCAGATTAGGGTGAACACTGTGAACCCCACCGTGGTTATGACTGACATGGGGAGAATTAACTGGAGTGACCCTCAGAAATCTGCTGCCATGATTAATCGGATTCCCCTGGGAAAGTTTGCAGGTCAGTGGGATAGGTCTGTTCCCAGGCTGGGCTCTTGTGTTGTCTCAAAGCCTTCCCTCTCACTGACGTTTAACAGCCAGAGTTACTTTGCTGCTTTTTTGGGCAAAGTCACAGCTCTGCTGAATGCCTTTTGGCTGAACTCCTGAAGTATTCGACGAGGACAGGGTGAGAATCAACCTTCTCTTCCCCGCTTCTACAGCCTCATCTTGGGACAAGTGAAATGAACTTACTCTATTGTTCATAAATCTGACTGGGTGTTTGCTGTGAACTAGGCATCTTTGATCACAAGGACTTTTTAATGTCCAGCTCTCAGCTACACTGTCCTGGGCACTGCATCAAGCACACTTTGGAAGCAGAAATACCTCCCTGCTCTAATCACATGTAGAGGTCAAAGGCAGACCTCTTTGGGTGCTTGTTTTTCTGGTACAATTTGAGGTGTGCATTAGATGTTCTCTGTTTGATTGCAGAGGTGGATGATGTGGTAAACAGCGTTCTCTTCCTGCTGAGTGGCAAGAGTGCTATGACAACTGGCAGCTCACTGATGGTTGATGGGGGCTTCCTTGTCTCCTGAGATGGCAACTGCATTTCACCCCAGCCTTAATTTTCATACTGGTACTGCATAGATGTAAGCTGGATAGAAAACAATAACACAGACATAGTCTCGCTAGAGGGGCAGCAGGGCTGGAGCCTGTAGGAGAAGTGAGGCAGAAAATAACCTTTGGAAGGCTGGTATATAATAAAGCTCAAATACGTCGTCATGGAGAATGTTTATTGCACCAAATAAGGTTTTATCTTGTCACTCTACATGATGATTAGAAATTGGACCTCTCTTCCAACCCTCTTCCCCCCCCACAACCCTTCAGAAGCTCTCCCTGTTCCATCCAAAACCATAGAGCCTGTCTGCACTTTCAGTGGGAAGGGAAAGAAGTTAGCAGGCTCCTCATTGCTTCCTTTCCTGTCTTTAGTAGAAAAAAACCAAAATAGAGGCAAGAACCCCAGCCCTGCTCTGCAGAGACTGGATTTTGGGGGGAGGCCTGGCTAAAGACTGATGGGGGGGAGCAGCACCATGCTGTCCTAGGGTGTGCACACACAAAAAGGCAAATGCATTGATTGCACAGAGCTGTTTCACTCACAGAGTTTGGCTAGTACCCAGTAAAGCACCTAATGATTAGTTCTTCAGCTTCTCTTTTACTTTGACCCCTTTCAGGGCTGGTTATGATTTTTTTTTAACAGTCTCAGGCACGTTCTGCTAGAGCACCAGTTTGTTAACTGTTGGCCACAGCAGGCTGGGCAAGGAGACCCTACCACCCTCCCAGCTGCTCTTGTCTTTCAGCACCATTGAAATCAGCTCCCTCCCCACTCCCACCAGGATATTCACCACCTGTTTTACCTGCAGGTTTAAAACAGGTGTTTCCAGGACAGGATAGATGTCTCAGGCCTTTCAGCTTAGAGTTCAGGACAGCCAAAACAGCCTGCTGCCCAAAGGGGCTACCTTGCCTTCCCCACTGTACCTTCCCTGGGGGCTGTACACCCCCCAGTTGGTCTCCTGCCCCCACTGCCCCTTCACATCAACACGGACGTTAACTCAAAGAGACATTTAAAAAACACTGACTTCGTACATGATGAAGGGCCCTACACCTTCCAGCCCCCTCCAGAAACACCCAGCTAATATGCAATCTGTCAGAGGACAACAACATGCTGAGCCAGCACCGAGGCCACAGCCCTCAAAACACGGTGCACTTTTTGCCAGGCTTCTTCACGGGCGGTGGGCAGAGCACAGCCCGGATGGCTTCATCAAAGACCGTCTTCAAGCCCCTCTGTGTCAGGGCAGAGCACTCAAGGTACTTTACTGACCCTGGGGAAAGAGAGCTCCAGTTCAACCACTCTGGTTCTACCACCACACACTGTCCCTCAACCCCTCAATGCCACAGAGCTCTGCCAGCACATGAGACTCACCGATCTCCCGAGCCATGGCCAAGCCTTGGGGGTAGGTGATAGGAGCCAGTTTCTTATCACGTAACCTTTCAATGGTGTCCTTATCATCTCTCAAGTCCAGCTTGGTGCCCACCAGGATAATAGGTGTATTTGGGCAATGGTGTCGGACCTCAGGGTACCACTGAAACAGAGAGGCATGACAAGAAAAGTAGCTACAGCAGTGGCCACATGAAGATGTGTTCCTACGATTGGGAATGAGGGGTTTACTACTAGCTGACATGGTGTCAACACTTGCAGACGATACTGCTGCCTATAGTCCTGAATATGCTCTGCAGAAAGAGATTGGTGCAGATGTAATAATGAACACACTGAGACACAGAATCATGACAGACAGCACCCATCAGTTCTGCACACAGTACATCCCTTAACAGCATTTTAGTTTCTAGGACACAGTTTCTAGGACGTCCATTAAGATGCAGATTCAAAAAGGCAGTAACTTAGCCAAAGATGTCATGAATAAAAAGCAGGCCCCACTTAAAACCTGCAGACTATGACCTTCCCTCACTGAGACATGACTGCTTGAAATTTTTGGCTTGTAAGTGTGGTGCTAGGTGGGGCACGGGACCTCACTTGTGCTTCCCTTCCAGTGTTTCACCCAGGAGGAGAATACTTTACCTTAGCTCTGACATTCTCAAAGGAGGCTGGACTCACAAGGGAGAAGCAGATCAAGAAAACATCCTGTGCAGAAACAAAAAGGGTCAGCTGTGCAGAAACAAACAGCTAAAGAGAATGGAGGGAGAAGGGAGAGGGATCCTGAGAGAAGACAACCTCCTCTCACAAGCAAGGACTGTGGCTTTAAGAAATTCTTGCCCATTAAGGGTGTTAAACTAATTCAGAGAGGAAAGGAATGGACCTTGAGTGTATGACTACATCTTCTTTCACAATGCTGAGCTCTGCATGTTAAAAGCATGCAGGCACAAACATCTTAACAGTGCTAAGGGCTTCACCCCAGCAGCATGGCTACGTAGGAACTACTACACCCAGGAAAATATTTCTAGTGCAGCACAACAGTGAGCCATCCTGCCAAGGGAGAGTGGGAATATGGAACTGGCTCAGCTGCACAGCAGTCTCATGCCATTCCTTTCACCTGAGCCTCCCTGGGGCACCCATAAACTGTTCAAAGACCATTACAAAGCAGGGACTAGAACAGGACAATCTCTTTGGAGAAAATCAGCTGTGATACTTCTTAAACCACCAGAATTATGGATGCAGCTGCAGCAACTTAGACTTTCCTCAATGGAAAGAAGCACGCCTGTCCTTGGGAGGCCCCCCCATCTCCAAGAGGGAGCAGTTACAAGCCAGTCCAAGCCCAGCACTCACCGTCTGTGGATAGGAAAGAGGCCGCAGTCGGTCATAGTCCTCTTGCCCTGCTGTATCCCAGAGGCCCAGGTTCACTGGTTTTCCATCTACCATCACATTGGCAGAATAGTTATCAAACCTGTCAAGGAGGAGTCCCTCATCAGTGACAATTTTGTGGTGACCTTCACGTCTCTATACGAAATCCAAGGGGGCAGTGAATCAGGAAAGGGTACTGCAGCACAGTTCCAGTGGGGACAGTCTGCCTTCCTTACGTACACAGCCACACCCCCAGCATCATCACAGTCTGATTTGGGACAGCTACCTCCTCACTTAAAAAACACCTTTTACACACGCATACAGATCAAAAAGCAACTGAAGCCCAAGGTTATTACTCACACAGTGGGGATGTATTCTCCAGGAAAGGCATTTGTGGTGTAACTGATGAGCAAGCAGGTCTTCCCAACAGCTCTGCAGAGGATAAGAGTGAGGAGAATAAAGAAGGGTACAGCAGGGAGCACTGAGACAGTAAAACTCACCCTTCTGCCCCACTCCAAAACACAACGTTAGGTACGAAGTTACTGTGTGAGAAAGCAAACCTGTGGCAGGCTGGAATTCCCTACTTGTCAGGGGCCAGGCCTGAACTCTTAACGTGCACCCTGCCTGAGCACTCACTGACCCTGCTCTCTCCCATTCCTTTTCCCCACCCATTCAGCCTCAGCAAGACACCAGGCAAAACAGAGTTGTTCCAGGAACCAAGAGAAGGAATAAATTAAGGCTGTGTGCTGGGCTCAACAGATCCATAATGGTCTAGCAAAATGGGTAAACAGGTGAAAAAAGGGTAAACAGGTGAAAAAACATGCAACAACACAGAACTCTACAAGCTCCTCAGATACAGGAATTTAGTATCAATACAAAGGAAAAACAATAAGTATCCATAAACAAAAATGAACTTTAAAATTGACCACTGTCAGTTTGGAAAGAGATCAATTTAGAGGGCTGAAATATCAGCTCAGGGCTTTGCTGAAGGCTGGTAGCAAGGGTCAGGCCTGGCTGGCAAGAGCATAAGCATACAGACTTTAGCCATCCCTCTACATTTCCTAAGGGAAAGCTTTGTTGTCAGAATGGAGGAGTACCAGCAACGTGAACAACTTCTTTATCACTGAGAAAGTTGTGAACTGCAGACAACCTTCCAGAAAAGGCATGAGTGCCAGGGAAAGCTGGTTGTGAAGAACCTGAAAGAAGATGAATAGCCAGCAGAGTTGCATATCCCCTACCCAATTCTGTAATCAGAGTGGCATAAGGAAAGACTTCAGGAGTAAGGGAGAGACTCTAGCAGAGTACACAGTCCTTTGGATGCACCAGGATGACTTAGTCTACACTGTCGATTTGGTCTTAAAACACAAGACAGCAAACCTTCAGCTGAAGTCCATTTACAACATCCTGTGCTCCCAGTTGTTACTCTCTCCTCCACAAGAAGGCTGTGCTGTTTTGGTGGTTGGCTTTCTCCCGCTCCCCTCTTTAGGCCCCACAGACTGGAACCTGGAAGGCCTCACCCCAAATGTGTATTTGAGGTGGCAACATGTCTGGGAAAGGGGAAAGACCTGTCCCTGCCTAAGACCAGTTCACATTTAAGTCTCAGTACCTCAACTCTGTGCTTCCTGTGGTGATCAGAAAAGTAAACTGAAAATGTGAGAAAAAATATGCAGAACGAGATAGGAAAGCTACAAAGCACCATAAATCTAGTGCATGCCTGCATCTTGCACACAGATGTGTTTTAAGAAAAAGGAATTAAGGAAGAGCCTAAAGAAAAGAGCAAAAAGGGTGACAAGGGGCACATGATGAAATCAGAAACAGCAACACACTTCACCTCGGAACAAACAACAAAAGTACACATGAGGGGAACCTGCTAAGATTTTCGGGAGGACTCTGTGATGAATCAAACATGTACAATGAAAAACAGCGAACTACAGGCACCTAAAATACGAGGAGATAGACGTAAAACCCAAGAGAAGACGGTGTTCGTTATCCAGGCAGACCGATGAGGCTGGGGAGCGCCTGGGGACCGAGATTCAAGTTCATCAACTAAGTAGGGAGCGGGGCAGGAATGCGCGGGCCGCCGCAAGGCCCCTATCTCCCGCCGGGACACAACGGCGGCTCGGCCCGCCCCGCCGGCCCCAGCCCCGCCCGAGCCAGGCCCGCGGCGATTCAGGCCGGGTCGGGCCTCGCCGCCCGGTGCGGGGCCTCCCGCAGCCGGAGCGGCTCTCCCGAGCAGCGGGGCGGAGCCGAGCGGCCCTCCCTTCCATCCTCCCTCCCTCCATGCCGCCAGGCCCGGGCCCGCTTCGTGCGGGGCTGCGCGGGCCGGGGCAGCCCCGCCCGCACTCACCCGTCGCCCACCACAACACACTTGATCGCCTGCATCTGCCCGCGATGGCGGCGCCGCGACTGCGCCGCAGTGACCGCCCGCGGGGCGGGGAGGGGCGAGCCGAGCGGGGCCAGCCGAGTCCAGCCGAGCCGCGCCGAGTCCAGCCGAGCCGCGCCGAGTCCAGCCGAGCCGAGCCGAGCCCGCACCGCCCAATGGCCCCGCCCCCTCCCCCGGGGCTCCGCCGCGGGCGGGGGGAGGCAGAAGCGGCGGTCCCGGGCCCCGCCCTGTGGAACACGCAGCGGGGCTTGCTCGGGGCCGCCTCCCGCACCGGGGGCCACCGGCTTAAGGACGAAGCTTTGATAGCTGGTTACGGTGTAGATTTCACTGTCACCCACCAGGAGCTGCAGCTAAAGTTCTGCAGGAAGACGGCTTTTGGCTTCCTCCGCCTCGAACGGAGGTGCCCACTGTCGTGGCCCTGTCTTAGAACAACAGGCTTTGCTTTTCCCTTACAGATGATGTAGCTCTCACTACAGACTCGCTCTTTGTGATTAGGGAATGCCTTCCCAGCTTCTTTGCTTTTACCTTAGTCCAGAACCAAAATCTTACCCAGCTCATCCACCTGTAACAGACTTTTAGCTCCAGGAGAGGCTGGCAGGGTTTTCAGGAGAGTAACACAGCAGACGGCCCCGCCCTCCACATCAGCCAAACATCCAGCTCATCATTGTCCAATCTTATGGCAAAATGCAAAAGCTCTTTATTAGAAAAGCAGAGCAAAATCCAATATAAAAAATCATAAACACAAACCAACCAGTCCACACATAAACGCTCATTTTCCATTTGTCTCCTAAAATATGTACTGCAAGATCACTGCTCCTGCCCCAGACTCATTGAAGGAACGCACAGAAGGTTCTCAAGACTGCTGGCCCCTTTCTCCAATTCAGACTCCCGCAACCCTTCCCTTTCTCCAGGTCATGCAAGGACTCGTGCTGTCAGGAGAGGAACCACCTTCTCTGCCTTTGTGCTCTTAGAAGCGACTCCTCTGTTTTGAGACAGAAGCACTGCTCCTCTCCAGGGTAAGGCCACAGCACTCAGCTTCAGGGGCCTGAGAAGCCATGAGGACAGTTTTGCCATTTGTCACAGTGAAATCAAATCCTGTTGCATATTGGCTGCAACATCTTCAGCCAAGGGCTGCAGTTCACAGTGAAGAAGCACAGATGCTGATCCCTAACCACCCACTGGCCCCTCCCCTGCCAGTCGGTGTTGTAGAAGTTGAACCACAGCCAAAGCCCAGCTGTCCCACAAGGACATGAACAGCATTGCACCGCAGCCCCTCTAAACAGCTGTTTCTGTCTATGCTGAACGCAAATCTACTGCCCACCAATACAGCCAGAGCCACAGCATGGAGGGTAAATGAGCCAGAGAGGGCCCAGTCAGACTTTGCTTCCATCTGTAAGCACTGGGTGAAAAAGAATGGATGCATAATATATGGTGTTTCCAGAAGTTTCAGGACCCCATGAACAAAGTGTGAACTGCTGTCGCCTTTTAACAGGTTTCACTGTGAACAGCCATGGCATCCAAACAAATGCTGCAGAAGAACTCTGCCAGGGAACATACAAACCACCCCCTCCAGTAGCAACAGGGTGTGCTGACAGGCTGGTGCTGTGTAAAAGGACACAGAAAATACTTTAAACACTGTGGCAGCTCAGTGGAAGGGCTCCACATCATGCACTCAGACCCACGAGCCTTGATGGTTGCTCCCTCCTTCCCTTTATGTGGTCAGGAGGAAGATTTACGAAGAGCGAGAACAATTTTCTGTGTTTGCAAGCCTTTGTGTCATCCCGCTCTGATAAAACTGTCCCATCTAGGAAGAAGGAGCTGTATCTGAGTTGCTCACCCTCTTCTGACAGCAGGTATTTGGATCCTTTAAGCCATGCTCTCATTTCCTAGAACTCTGGGTTCCAAAGGGGGGTCCCTGCACATATGCCATGATGGCATTTTGCAAGAAACTTGCTCGCTGGGCCTCCTCTTCCCTCACCCTGGAGATCTCAGCCTCTTTCATTCTCAGCTTCTCCAGCAGCAGAGAGATCTCACCCTCTTTGTCCAGCAGTGCTTCACGGTGATTATTTGATAAGGCTGTAAAAGAGCAGCATTAGTAAACAAAAGTAAGGTGTCCCCAGAATAAATAAGAACATGTTACAGGCACAGCCACAGGCAACTGAAGTGGGATGGTCAACAAGAACGTGAGAGAAGCTGCATGAAAGGTTTTGCAGAGACAGCATGTTACACTTCATTGCGCAGGAAACCCAAACAGTTTGCTTGCTGTGCAGCTTTGGGTAGTTATCTGAGTCTTGGTCTCTATAAAATGAGGACAAGAATCCCTGCAAATACACCAGCATGGAGAGTACAACTCACAGGTGTACGCACAGGCAGGAAGCGCAGGTGTTACTACCTATAAGCACAGCTCAGTTCCAGGCCCAGTGCAGGGTAACTCAGCATTATCATTTGAGAAGCATGAAAGGATCCATCACCTTTCAGCTGTCTTTCCAGAGCTGCAATCTTCTCTCTCAGTCCATCCTGTGCTGTGCGTTCAGCTTCCAGGTGCCCAATCTGCTCCTGTAATTCCACCTTCACCTTATTCACTTCTGTCACTTTCTCCTCTTCCTTACTGTTCAGGTCCTGACACACAAAGACAAATCCATGAACAACCAAATAGCTTTAGCAGCTTGTTCTGTCCCTGTGGTGACCATCTCTACTGCACTCCAAATTACCTGCTGAAGTTCCTCCAGCCGCCTTCTGAGTCCATCAGCATGCAGGCTCAACTGTTTGGCTCTGGCCTGGGCTTCAGCAGCCATTTCTTTTTGCTTAAGGTAGCAGTTCTGAGCTTCATCCCGTGACTCAGTCATCAGCTGCAGCTTCTCTTTTAGGTGTTCTAGTCGTTGCTGCTGTAAGACACAAAGGAAAATGAAAACATCAGTCTCACTCCAGTCCTGTGAAGGGATTCTCCCCTTTTTGTTCCTAACACAGTGAACCCTTGGCTGAGTCAACTGGCACTGAAGAAGCCCGGGACTTGGCCATAAGACACAGCCCTGCTCCTCTGCAGTCAGGAATGACCCCAAGGTGTTGCTTCTTGCCAGGGAGGACACTGATGGAGACTCTGAAACACCCAACTGACTCACTGAGAAAGAGGCAGGTCCTGGGCAGAAGCACTCGACGCCACCACCAGTCTTCATAACCAATGCTCTCCCTTCACTTCCTTCATACCCCAGACGGCTCTGAAGCACCACTGTGTGCAGCTAAGCAACTGCTGGGTCCCACACATCAGCTTTTCTAAGTCTGTAACTCAGTGAAGCGTTTTCTTTTGTGATGTTATGTATAAGTAATATTCTGATAGTTTTTTTGTGTTTTCTTCATTCCTTGTTCTCTTTCACAGGATATTAACTTCATTGCCATTTTCACTAAGTTCAATTCAAACAGTGACCTTTTTTTTTTTTTTCTGTCCAGCAGCAGTAGCCACCTGAAATTTTTCTGAGTCCAGAGAAACAGGAGCACCCCATGAAAGCTGCCATTAAACGGAAGGATCGACATCTGGCTGTTGGCTTCAGAAGCTGGCAACTTAAATGAAATCGGCTTTGACAATATCCACATCAGTTCTGCTCCTACTGGAGACAATTCAAATCAGACTTTTCAGGGCTCCTTCTTCAGTAATCACACCATTTGCAGGCCAGTGAAACCCAGAGAGGGGAGTTACACAGCAGTTCCCTGAGACTAAATCATAGGCTAGGCAGCCAGATCGCTTCTTTCGCACAGCAGCAGGGCTACACACAGGTCTTATCCTCACCTCCTCCAAGCGCGCCTGATTCCGGGCTTTTATTAACTCCTCCTCTGCTTGGCCTCGCTCAGCAAGTGCAGCTGCTTTGACTTGGCTCAGCTCCTGCCACAGAAGCATGGAAAATGATTCCAGACAGAGAAGCTGCATCACTGCAACACTGACCAGAAAACATTAGCAGCTTCCAGTCGCAGGCTACAACATGACAGATCTTCCTCTCACTCATGGGCAGTGAAAGCAAGCCAAGATGACAAACCTTTTCTTCCCCCAAGATTACCATCACAGTTCAATGAGAATTTCAGTTATATGAGGGCAAGTCATAGGTAAAGCTTTCCACAGCAAGGTAATGTAGCTGGGAAAACAGATACAGAGAAATATGCTACACTTCTTGAGATCACTTCTGACTCATGAAGTCAAATCTTGGTAAAACTCTCACTGTGTTAATGGAATCCTTATTTCTGTTCAATCTGAATTTAGAAGTTTCTCCTTGTAACTTTCTCCTTTCTTAGTCCAAAGTGGTAAAAATAATTTTAAATGGTATACTGCTCTTTTCTGTTCCTCTCTAGACCACATGACAATCTTTACAGAGGTCAGCAATGGAAGACTCCACAAAGCTCCCCTGGCAGCCTGCTCTTTGCACTGCTACATGAGTGTTCAAACATGCCTGCAGCATCCTTTCTCACCTCCTCCAGAGATATCCTGATGGTCTCCAGCTTCTGGATCCTGTCCTGCATGGAACGTTCACTGGCCTCGATGTGCTGTGTCATATGATCCACCTGCAAAGCAGTAGAAACCATTTAAGCAAGTGCTAGAAAACTATTCCCATTTCCAGGTGTATCAGCAGGGCCATCTCTCATGAGAGAGAAGCATCCTCCCAGTGACCCACCCACCACCTAAGAAAAACTCTTACCTCTCTAGAGCTCCCTTAGGAAACTGTAATACAGATACAATCTGCCATCTAGAAACTGGGAACTTTTAGGCAGAGATCCCTCCCAGACCACGACAAAAGATACAGAGGCCAAGTTCTCATTGTCAAGCGGTACAAAACACCACAGATTCATTTTCCAGCTATAGTGAGGCTAAAATCTTCTTGGCATGTGTCTTTTCTTAGAAGATTTCAAAATCTTCAGAGAAATCTATTGGTGTAGTTTTATTTTTGAGAGATTTCACGCCTCAATAAACACTGCAAAGAGAATTGATCATAGTCTCTTGTCCTGTCCACACTCAGAAACAACCCCCCTTGACATAACAGGGAAAGAACTGGCATGCTGAGCCCCGTTAGAGGATTGTTGTGTACAGCATGTATGTCTCAATTTCCTCCATCAAAGCATCTGTATTTCAGAAGAAGGACAACACTGCTTATTCATAACTACCTCTGTGGGTAGCAAGACTAACACAAGGGCCAGCTCCCAGCCTCTTTTGGAGCATCACATGCCACTCTGGCCCATACTCCTGCAAGCTACAAAATCTTACTAGCTGGCAGAATGTCTTGTGACCTCTTAAGGCAGGCTTTGCTTGAAGAAATGGCCCATTATTCCCACAGTAACTCTGAGTTCACTAACTTGTCAACCTTTTTAAAAGCACCTGACAGCAAACAATGACCTCCAGTGGTGCTTGTATGTCAGGACCAAAGAAAGACTAACCTTGGGATGCTGCAGAAACCCCATCCTTACCTCTTTTACCCGAAGGGATTCCATGTCTTCAAGGCTTTGTTTAAATCTTCTCTTCTCCATTTCCAGACGTTCTGCACATTAAAAGCAGGTGTATCACAATTCTGGCACTCCTGCCATGCAGGCTGTATTCATACTTTATCACACACTCTGCTGCCCTTCCTCTGTGACTGTCCTGTGCCACTGACTCATGGACAGTGATCCCAACCATAGGTATCCACTAGCTGTTTCTGTTCCTCTACTCACCCTCAGCCTGCACAGCCCGAAGCTTCAGCTCTGCAGTTGTGTTGGCCAAGTCTTGTTTTACCTGGAACAGCTGATCCTGCTGAACTTTGCACTTCCTCTCCAACTCATCCACCTACAAGAAAATGACCACCAAAAAGGATTTTCTTTTCCTATTAGCAGAGAAAGTTGGCTGTACAGGACGATGAATAGAGACAGAACCAGGGATCAAAGCACAAAACATATAGACAGAGAAGAAGTTACATTTGTCCAAGTTCCCCTCCTCAGCCTTGGACTTAGTTTCCTACCTGGTTTCTCAGCAGCAGATTTTTCTCACTGGCAGCAGACAAGTCATGCAAAAGCTTGCCTTCCCGATCAGCACTTTCCTGCAAACAAAATCAAAATAAAAACCTGTACTCACCTTAGTTCCTGCACCATCAACCTATGCCAACCAACACCACACCCAGTCAAATCCAACCTACCCCATAAACACCAGGGCTCCTCTTCACACCAAGCACTCGCCTATCTAATTTACACAAGAATTTATGTCATGGTGGCTTGAGTTAACCCATGAGTAGTAAAAAAAATCACACTTCTCTATCCCTTGCAGCATCTCCCAAATCTACACAAACCACTTATGACCTGGAGCCTTGCCCTCAAACCTAACTAGAACTTCTTCATCTCACCTGCTTTTGTTGCTGGAGCTCCCTAAAGTGGCACTCAGCCACACTGGTTTGTTCCTGTTTCATGGCATTCAGCAGCTCTCCCAAGTTGTGCACCTTCTGCTCAGACAGAGCCAGGGCAGCTTCAGTCATCTGCAGCCTATAAAGAGAAACACTTTCTGGAGTCTTTTCCAAGGCAGACACTGCAGAGAGCTCTCCACGCCATCTGGTACAAGGTGCTAGCATCTATCTGGCAGTGGATGAAATCATGCTAAGGCAATTTTTGCCCCTAGAAAAAGGACACCACTGACCTCTGTACTCAGCAGCGTCTGCAAAAAGTGACCTGGGACTTCTCAGGGCGCAGTGTTCTGGTGCCCATTCCATTTTCCCTGTGTTGTTTTCTATGAGCCATTTTCCCTGCCCCGAGCACTCCAGAATTTGCTCACTCTCACAGAACAAAGCTGGCTATTTTATACCACTGCAACATTGTTTAAAATTAGGGACAGAATTGTAAACGCGAGTAGCAAAAGCAATTTGCTTATTCTGTCCATGAGAGGGACATGTCCACACCAGGGCATGGCATAATAAAACTGCCTATACCTGGCATAAGTGAATTAGCCCGGCTCAGGAGAGTTTGAAGTCTAACCCCTGTCATGGGCATGACTCTGCACAACCTAGCAATGCTTTCGGGAAGCTCCACCCCACTGTTCCTCCACATCTGCAGTGGTTCTCAGAGAATGCTGCCAGGGGAAGCAGGCATAGCCTCCTGCCAGGCTGTAAACCACGCAAGGAACAAGCCCCCATCCCATCCGCACAATCATTTTTCTTCCTTTTCACCCTCTGTAATTCACTTGCTCGTACGCCAATGCACTGTAATTTTACTTAAAAGCTGGCTAAGTATCTAAAGTGGCCAACTCAAAGGCGTGATCTGACCCTAATTTCTGGATATTACTGCAGAATTAAGCAAAACAGTAAACCAGCTACTCTACAGAATTATCCCCCTTCTTAGCAGCTCTGCTCAGTATTGTGCATATAGCATAGACAAGGGGAAAGGTTTTCCTCCTCCATACTTGGCTTTCAGTGAATTTATAATGGAGTGCTGCTCATCCAATGCTTCCTGCAGTTGGCTGACTCGTGCTGCGGACATTCTGCATTTCAGAGACAAAAAAAAGAAAGAAAAAAAAAAAGGTGGGTAATTTCTCCCAGGAAATTACCATCAAAGAGAGAAAGCATTTAGAAATCCAACCCACCTCTCACTCTTGGCTTTTTCTTCTTTCTGCTTGTCTACAGTGTCCATTAAATCCAAGAACTGTGAACAGGGCAAAATTCAGTGAGAACACGAACTGCATCAGCTTAAAACATACACTTCTCATGCTTCTCTTCCCAGAAACAGCTGAAGACAGCTCAAGCTACTATTGGAAGCAAACTGGAGGTATGATGCATTTATTAGCACATCTGAATGAGATTATCAGCTATAGGGACTCTGCACCCTGTGGTGCCAGAAGGAAAACAGACTCAGATCTCTAGGTTTATACTACTAGGAAAATATCAAAGTAGAAGCAAAAGAACTGAAATTATGAATTATAGGTAAAAAAAAGTCACCAAAACTCCTGCAGAATCCAGAGTGAATATGTTCAGCAGGGGTGTGTCCACACCCATACTGCTATTTGATTTGATTCCTGGTCAACCTAGCTCAGAGGAAGGACATGATGTACTCAACCATGCTGTGTGCCTGCCCATAAAGATGCACGTGCAACTTCAGATGCACAATAATACTGTCACTGAGTGTTCTGTGGGGGCTACAAGGGGAAAGCAAAGGATTCCAGCTGCCCTATTTGAACTGCCAACACGTAAGGTTGCTAACCTGCTTGTTCTTCTCATCCTTCAGATTCAAAACCTCTTTGTTGAGGATGTACACTCGGTTCTGGGCCTCACTCAGGATAGCCTCACGGTCTTGATTGTGATCCAAGGCTTGTTCTGATGCAGAGAGCAGGAGAGCATGCACAAGTTTCTAAAGCGACAGAACAGCAAACACTGCTGGAAGAAACAGCACTCAGGATGACACCTGGCTATAAGAAGCACCAGGACAGCTTCCCTTCTCAGGCCAGCCCCTATAGAGACCTCTCACCTTACACCAAAAGGTGGGATGAGATCTAAGAGAGCAGTGTGTATTGGGTAATCAATACTCCAAGAATAGGAAAGCTGTTCAACTCTGCTGTGGGCAGGACAACAACACACGATGTGCTGCACAAGCCACATCAAAACTTGGCTACTCAGAGGCAAACTAATCTCAAGTTCTCTCACATTCACAGGGCACACTAACTCAACCCAAATTATTTTTTTGCTCTTGCTGGTGAAAGTGACACTTCCCATTTGACCAGCTCTCACTAAGGGACAAGAGGAAGTGATGTAGGGTACTGTAGAAATGCTGTTGAGAAAGGGAGGAGAGGAGGAATAGCTCTCTTCTGGAGCAGCAAGTGCCTTATATCTCTCAAGTGCTGAAGTGGGGAGTTAGTGATTCATTACTGTACAACACATCATACTTACCCACAGCTTTCAGGATGTCACCAGGAACGTTGTTCCCTGCCAGCTCTAGCCTCTTCAGCGTCTTGTTTCTGTGCAGGCAGTTCAGCAAAGCTCGACCACCCAGAAGCCCAATATTGTTCCATCGCAAATCTACACACAAAGCAAACTTTCACCTTTGTAGTCACACATCTGCTGAAAAGCAAAAGGCCCAAGAGAACCCATGCTCTTTTTACATCTACAAACATGGCTAACTAATCCCAGATGGTCTTAGCATAAACACAGGTGAATACTGTCTCCCCTTTCAAGATGAATGAGAGGGAGGGAAAGTAACAGACAAAGCAGGAAAGGCAGATATATCATTTTTAAAGTGCAGAAAGCCACTACAGTTCAAAATTTACATAAGTCTGCCTCTTGCAAGCCTTCCTTCTACAGCCAAAATCTGTGGATGAGAAAGAACTTTCAACAAAAGCCATGGTCTCCTGAAGGAAATTCCACCAAAGTTCCATATAAGGACAAAGCAGGTGTGAAGTAAGTCTCCGAGTCTGTCATGAGGCATGCCAACAGCATCTACAGATAGGACCGAACACACTCCCTCCTCTGCTAAGGACTGTGTGCATGTGTAATGTACGTGGGCAAAGAACTCTTACCCAGCTCCTGAAGACATGCGTTTTGTGTCAGTGCCACGGCCAGCTCTCCAGCCCCTTGATGGTTAATCTGGTTATTGCGCAGATCCAGCCGCTGGAGAAAGTTGTTTGCTGCCAGTCCTTGGCAGAAAAAGGAGAAGCCTTCCTCCCACATGCCAAGGCTGTTCCACTCTAAGGTTAGGCTAGGGAAATCAGACAGGATTAGAGTTCGTGGAGTAAATGAACAGCCGCATGAGCTTGAATGATATGTGGATCACAGTACCCAGTCAAACACCCAGTTCCACGAACAGACTTGGTTTCAGAGAGCAAGATGCTGCCAGGACCCAGCATCCTTCAAAAGGGCACCTCCAGTTCTCACTCCTTCACCTCTCCCACCCCTCACAAGAAATTGTACCACTTGACGTTCCTCCTACCCCAACAAAAACCACCCTCAGCCTTTTTCAACTGTTGTGCTCCATCTAACAGGAATAACACAAAGAGAGGTAGATACATTTTTTTTTTTACCTCCGGATGGATTTGTTCTGCCTAAGAAGTTTTCCCAAAGCCTCAGCTCCCATGCTTCGTAGGTTATTTCCCTGAAACAGAAGTCCCAGGTTATGAGTAGGCTACACCTGTCCCAGTCCACCTACCCCATCAAACACCACTAGGTACACCCCAGTTGTAATGCCGATTTCAGCTGGACAAAGATGGTCCAACCACCATTTGTTTCACGTATCAGTCAGCTTTCCACAAAATTAAAAGCCCTCGAGGAACAGGGGATGCGTACACACCTCTGGTCTTGTGAGGCACCATGACTGAGAGCTTGCAAAATTCACAGGATAGCACAGGATCATCATGGGCCACAATGGGACAGAAAATGGTGATTCTAGATAAGCAGAACCATTTCAATATACTTCAATAAAAAGGGCTCAGTTAGGACTAGCATAAATGAGAAAGGTGCAACTGTATATTCAAGAGGATAGCTGTATGTCAGAGGAATACAGACAGAAAGCCACTCTCAGTAGAGTGACCATCACATCTAAAGGCAGATGCCTAGTGCCAAGCTCAGGCTAGCTGAAAGGCATTGGCAAGCTGGATAAATTCTACAGAAGCACAAGTCAAACAGTAACTCACTGATCAATACAGAGACCCAAAGAAACCCTTATATATGCCTCATCTGACCAAGCAGCAACGGACAAAAGATATATAGCTGTAACTTCCTACCAAAACAGACTAACCAAATAAAATTGGATAAAGGTGATCTGCAAAGTAACTTTGGAATGTTCTGACATGGTGTTAAGGACACAAGGAACAAATCACTCGAGAACAAAATCCTTACAGAAGTATGCATCTTTCTGAACAATCCTGCACCAGGACTGTCAAGTTCTAACTCTGACTAAGCCCGTGCTCCTTTTTCCTTGTCCACCACTTTGTCCTAATTCTATTCGAACAGACTCACCTTCAGATCCAAAGATTTGACTGTGGTGTTGGAGCAAAGACCATGCAACAGAAGTTTTACACCTGAGTGGGAAAAAAAAAAGTTGTTCATTTCATTCGTGGAGCCCTTTGCCCAAGCCGGGAGTGTATCGTCCTGTCAAACAGCCAGCTCAGGAGACGTGGCTGCAAGAAACGAATAACTTGGTAAACGACCACTGCTGCTGGAAAGCGTGAGCCTGAGTTTTTGGGGCAGGAGACTGTTTGCACATTCTCAAAGAGGTGTCCGGGCAGAGCTCTCTGCACGTCAGCTTGTGCACCTGCCTGACCCAGCCCTGAGATCAGCCCACATCTGGAGAGGCCCCACAGCCACGACTGTGCTGCCCCCGGAGCGCCTTCGCTGCCGGCTGCTTTAACCAGCCGGATTGTCCCGTCCGTCCACGGCCAACAGAGAGCAGAGCCGCCTTCGAAGAGGGATGGAACCGAGGGGTGCTTGACCACCCACACTGTCGCAGAGCAGACACCCTCACCGCCCTGAGACAGGAGCGACCTCCCGCCCCGCCGCCCGGTCCCGCTCGCCGCCGGCAGAGCGCGGAGCCGGGCCCGTCCCGCCAGCCCGGCTTGAGGGGGCGGCGGGGGCGCCCCCGGCCCGAGCCCGGCGCTCACCTTCCTCGCTCAGGCCGCAGTCGCCGAGCGCCAGCGCGGCGAAGGGCGCGGCACCGGGCAACAGCCGGCCCAGCGCGCCGCACGTCTGCAGCGACAGGCTCTGCGCCGTCAGGTCCAGGCGGGCCCGGGCCCCGCCGGGCTCCCGCAGCCGCCGCAGCACGGCCTCCTGCGGGGCCGCGCCCGCCGCCGCGCACAGCCGCGCGTACTCCCGGCGGAACCGCTCCATGGCCGCGGCCGCCCCGGAACCGCTCCGTGGCCGCGCGTACTCCCCCCGGCACCGCTCCATGGCCGCGGCCCCGCCCGCCGCGCCGGCCTGCGGGAGGCGGGGCCGGTGGCGCGCGAGACATGGAGGAGCGGGACGGCCGCGCCGGCGGCTTCAGGAAGGTGCGGCGGTTCAGGGTGGGGCGGGGGGTCAGTCCCGAACTCGGCCGCGGCCGGGGGGGGTTCGGCCCTGCTCATCCCGTCCTCTCTCCGCGCAGGACACCGTGGACCGGCTGCTCCGTCTCCATTTCCGGGACGGGAGGACACGAGGTACCGGGGCAGCGGCGGGCGGTACCGGGAGGGCCCGGGTGCGGCTAGCTGGGCCCCCGCCTGCCGTAAGCGCCTTGTCGTTGCAGTGAACGGCGACGCGCAGCTGCTGATGGCCGAGATGCTGAACGTCTTCGTCCGAGGTGAGCGCACGGGGTCAGCCCGAGCCGCCCTTTGGGCCCGTTACCGACCTGCGGGCCGCCCCCCGCCCCAGCCTCCTCCCCGAGCACCCAGCACTTAGTCTCATCCCGTGCTGCGCCAGCTCAGCTGTCTCCTGTGCAGCCAAAGCCCAGACACCGCTTCCTGCACTCCTCCGGGCCACCTCCCTCCCAAGCAACCAGCTCCGGCCCCCCGGGCGGGACCCCCTCCCTAGCAGCTCCCAGATCCCTCTCACTGCCCTCGGCTTTCCCTTGTCCGGTAGAAGCGGCAGCACGGGCAGCGCGGCAGGCTCAGACAGAGGACCTGGAGAAGGTGGATATTGAGCATCTGGAGAAAGTGTTACCGCAGCTGGTATGTAACTGTGGGCTTGAAGTGCACGGGAGCAGGATGAGGATGTGAGCTGAAAGACCTTAATGCTCTTCCCCCTGGGAGATGTTTCAGAAATCTGGCCTATGTGCTGACTGGCTTGCTGCTCTCTCCTTACAGCTTCTGGATTTCTAGAGGCCTCCTGAAGCACATTCTGCCTGCCAGCAGATGGTCCTGACCTGACAGCAAACATCTGTCTCAGCCTCCGAGTCTAGCTCTGGGAAAAACAGTTTCAACTTTTTTTTCCTCTGTTGTTTTGCTTTTGTTTCCCCTCTCTTTACCAAGCACAGTACAGCCCATAGCAATGATGCTGTCAGATACTATTTTTGAGAAGAGGCTGTCAAAGGCTTGTTTTGTTCAGCTGAGAATGTAACTGGTTTCCATCTTGCTGCTTTACTCCTGTAACAGGGGCATGTACTTCACAGCATGGTAAGATGCTCTTGCTTTCTCAGCTAATGTGAGAAACAGGTGCTGCTTCACAGAGATACATGGAAAGACTTAATGACTGGAAATACCATCCAGCCTTCAGGCTCTCCTTGCCTCAGCAGGCAGCTGTGACAGCAACTCTAGGTCCAGCTCCAAGCCTGTCTAATGAATAGGTTGTTAACAGGAGTTCAGTCACAGGCTCTTGCCAAGAGCAGGTAACTGATCTTTATTTTATAAATAAACAGTGTTTGTCTCTCACTACCTTCCAGTATTTCTCTAGGGCTGTGACATCAAAGAGTACTTGGAACCTTTTAACCACTTGATATTCTCAGAAGCTGCTTCCCCTCTGCTATAAATTTGTTCTCACAAACATCAGTAAGTTAAAAACCCGTCTCCCTCCCTTTGCTGTAATTAATCATCAAAAGTCAAGTTGCTTCAAAGACTTGAAGAGTTTCCCCCTCACTCACCCTCTTCTCTAAGTCTTTGTAGGACGAAAGGAAAAAATAACACACAGCATGTGTGAGAATCCCACATCACGGGACAGCCTGGCTCCTCTGGCAGTGGGGGGAAGGAAAGGGGGGAGCAGGGGGGTGCTATGAAATAAGAAACCTTACACATGTGGGCAGGACCCACACAACCCAACTGGCTTTGTTGCGAAATGCATGGCCCCTGCAGGAGCACCACTGATGGGCCATGGCTTGGGGCCTGTGCTCCTGCTGTGGGATCAGCAACTAGCAGTCCTGTTCCCAGGGACAGCTGTGGCAGGCAGAGGCTCGGTAAGTCCCTGTACTCTTTTCAGCCAGGAGCTATCAGGGTCATCTCTCAGGACAGCAGCCACTTGGAAACTTCATTAAAACCTCAATTTAAATACACATTCTTAAGACAGTACCAGCTTAAGCAGTCCCCAGCAGCCCTCTGCCACTCGGCCAAGACAACTGTTTGTGCAGCTGTACAGTGCACCCTATGAAGGAACTGACCTAGTTCAGCCTTCAGCCCCACAACCATTGGTAAAAAAAAAAGCAAGAGCAAAAAAATGCAACTAATGCTACCTTTGAATGCCCCAAAACCCCAGGGATGAGTTCAGCTGTTATAGCAGAAGTGATACTGAAACAAAACCAGCTCATCCGGTACCTGCAGGTACTGTTCTGCAGTAGGACCGGAATCCTTGTAGCAAGCAGCTTAGTGAAGAGCCTGCAGTTTTAAATGTCAGGGCATCTCGTTCCCCTTAAAGAATGCAATCCTACTTTCTTGCCTTTTCCAGATTTCAGATCTTCATCTCTCCCTCCTCTCTGACTCCTACTGACACAGGTCCCACAGCTGCTGCTGTAAAAAAGGGTCAAGTTCCCTTCGCTGACACACACAAGCATTGACTCAAGAGAATTGCTGATGTGGACATTGGTAGTAAAGCAGCATTTTAATAGCAGCAACAGCTAAAACTAACTCTTCTTTGCATAGGGAAGAGGAAAAAGACCTCTGATCTAGCTGTTAAAGGTACTGATTTTTCATTCTTGTGCTTATACTGGGTTAGACAGCAATATGAAGTCTAGTCCTCATCCCTGCATCCCCTTGATCCATGAAACTGCCCCAGGAATACTGATATTGCTGCTTGTATCCCTAAACTTCTTCTGTTTTCCCATCTCGGGTAGTTGCAGGTGACTAACAGTTAAGAGTGCTTGCTCTTTATGAACCTGGCAGAATCAGAACAGCTAAGCAAATTGGCACTATTTGACGTCTCCTGTGCTCTTCAAAAGATAAGGACAAGTACGCCTGAAGGCACACTGCAACTTCTTCCAACTACACTGCTGCTGCTTATTCTAACCCTGGGAACTGCAAGTATTCCCCCACCTATCATTAGCAATGGCTTCTAGTTTCCCCCCAGTATATCCTGCATAAATTCAGCAAAGCAGCTCCAGCTGCAATCTGCCTCTGGCTTGTGTGACATGAATAAGCCTGACACAGCACCTGATACAGACAGTCCTGTGGAGGGTAGGCTCAGTCCACACTTAATCCACTAGAGCAATAAAGTTTAAACATTATTTTAATGTTTTTTTGCGTTGCTGTGGTATGCGTTTTATAGCCTGTCAAGGGCCAGACGGGCTTGCTTTCCACAGGGAGGATTTAGAGCAGCAGCCGTACATAGTGCTCTCACATTCCCCACTGCCAGTGGCCGCACACATTCCTGTTTACGTTTGGGTGTCATATAAGAATCAACTTTTTTGGTAAAGCATTTTGCTCCCTCTGCTTTGAGTCTCCTTTTTCCTCTTCCACCTTTCTTTCATGCCTCTCCCTCCAAGTTTCTTCAAAGCATCTAGGAGCATTTGGAAATAATTAGACCTGAAGGGAAATGTTGGCCAGGCTGGGAGACAATGACAAGTGCCAGGAACCCTGGGTGCCCTTTCTAGCCACTTTGAAGTTCATTCAGATGGTACAAAGCTCCGTTTTGCTTTGTTGAAAAACATGGGAGGAAGGGAATGAGGCATGACAGGCCCATTGAAAAGGGAGCAGGTTCCTGTGAACTGACAGAGACCAAGTGCTGGGGCAAGAAACATTATCAAAGGGACCGACTAAAACGGCTCCCACGGCCACTCTGCTTTATTACATATACAAATTGTGCAGATGTGCATGTAGTGCAGGGAGGAAACAAGGAAAACAGGAAGCATGGTATTACCATACCATGGAACCCCAGCTCTGCATAGGTCACTGATCCATGGAGAAAACTCCAAACAGAATCCAGCACCATGGCTGCCGTGGCACTACAGAGTTCATCTCCAGTGTAATGGCAATTCTAACCAACAACATTCATCCCCACATGATGTCTGCAGAAGGCAACAACCCAGACTGGGGCTTTCCCCCAGTACAAGCTGTGGTGCAGGGCACGGCCACCCTGTTCCAGGAACACTCAAACCACCAACCAACTGGCATGGGAAGAGACCCTTTAACTGGATGGCTTTTTCCTTGTTGTAATTACTGGTGTTAATTATACAAAGTGAAAATAGAACTAGAGCTTAGGGCAGAAATAATCTCAAGAGGCATTCCATGAACAGATACCTGTGTTCTTTGTTAGTAAGATTCTGGCAACTGAACACAATACAAGTGCAGCAGCCCAATAGGTTCACAGGAAAGGCTAATTGAACTGGTTTAAGTAACCTAAGGGCTTCCTCTTCATTTGCTTTCCAGGCACCTATATCCAGAATTATCAGCAGCACTAGCCCCACCCAGCAAGAAGCAGAGAGAAGTCTTGTTTTAGGCATCACTTAACAATAGTTAAAGCTGAACTAGATCGTATCTTGCTGCTAGAATCCAGGCAGATAGACTCAAGTGATCTCTGAAGGTAGAATTGGGAAGACTGAATTTAAAAATATGGACAGAAACAAAGTTCTTCACAGAAAGTATATAGAAATTATGTCCCCCTTATTTCTCTATGTTATTATTTGCATGCAAGAAACCTTAAATTTAACTTCTAACTTCTAACCTTGCTTCTGTAGTCACAAAGACCATATATAAGCCTTCCACTTCTCCACCAGGTGCAACTGGCATCTGAAATAGCAATTCTCTTTTTATAACTAATGTTCATACAGATGAGCTCTCCAGAGCCACCAACAATTTCTTATGCATTCTGAGTAAGATCATCAAGACAGGGGCCCAGCTGATTGCTCACTGATCCAGCAGCCCAGGATGCTTCATCTCTTTCCACCTACAAAAAAACCCACAGGAGCATTAAAACACTTAACATGTAATTTGCACTGTCTCATTTCTCAATAATATGATCTGGTGGTTGAGGGTTCTGGACACTGCTGTGCTCAGGCAGCATTGGGGATCACATGGGAGCACTTAGGGAGATGGAATGGTATATACATCATAACTTTTGGAGCAGGGAACTTCATCCTTCATGTTATTAATATGCATGTTAGAGCATATTATTAACCTTTCATACTAGCTGTTAAATGGGAAACCTGCATGGGTAGGTGAGATGATATTTTGTACTTTGTCCAGATAATCTTTACTTGGGAAAGAAAACTCTACAGTGCAATGCTTCAAACATACTGGAAACAGGAAACAGTGAAGATCTTGTTTCCCACTGCATCAGTATCTCAGCACCAATCTACACCAGAACAGCCACAGCAGTGAATATACCAACCCACTGTTGGCAGCCTTCAGAACTTATGGTCTACTTGCTGGAGCTGAGGGCCCCACAGTATCCTCCAGAAACAAATGCTAAAATTCTCATCCACAAAGTTAATATTTGGCATTATTAGCCAGGGATTTCCATATAAGCATTACTAGTTTTGATGCTGTTAAGGGGGCTGATTTAATGTGGTTTTTTTTTTCCCCCTTGATTTCCTCTCTCCCTCTTGTCTTTGCCACTGAATCAAAAAGTGAATACTCCCGACTGTTTAATTCAGGAATCCTTCTTCTAATTACGTCATATTTTGTATAAATTCACACATAAGTTATTTTTCTGGGACTAAAAGAAAAACTGCAGTTTTCTGATGAGGATAAACCAAGAAAAAATTAGTAATGGAAACTTGGTTGCAATCTTAATTATGGAAAACCACTACTGGTTTGCAGTGAAGATTTAAAACAGGAAGACCAGCTAAAAAAAAAATTCAAGAGAAAGAAAAGTACTAAAACAGACTACAGAAGCAGAAGGGAAAATAATGCCAGAGATTTAACAGATGACATTGGCCTTTGGTATGTAGTATGTCCTGCCTATTAATATCTGAACAACACTGGCAGAGTTAAGAGCTCAGTACATCAAACCAAAAACACAGTTAAGAATGCTGCAAGCATATGGATTAGGCATCAGACTCCCCAGTGTTCAGAGCCTGCACTTAGATACTTCTCCAGTGAAGGCTGAGGTTCAAGTCACAAACCAATGCGTGACCAAGCAGTGAACCAAGTTCCTGCAAGCACAAACTGACATCTGCAACAATACTGTTAACATCCAACATACTTGGCAGAGAGGAGCCTGCCTTTTGGGGCAGTTTAGAGTGAACAGAGCTCTCCTCTGATTTCATGATACCTGGCAGCTTCAGCCATTTGGGGACTTTCCCAGGGGTCCTTCTCAAGCCCTGCGGAGCTCCCTGTGTGGTGGCTGCTTCCGGAGACCCACTGGTCTTTTTGTCACTTCGGGCTTCTGGTTCAGATAGGGTTGGAGCTCCTGATGCTACAGATGATGAGGCAGAAGGAATTAATGATCTGGAAAAACACCTGAGAAAGAAAATAAGCAAGAATTAACCTTTATTTTTCATAATAACCCCCGTACCACCACCTTTAAATTTTTTTAAATTTTTCAGATTGAAAAGGTTCTTCTTTTTCCACAATAGAAGCACTAGGATTTACTTGATTTGGTCACTGAAATCCTACTTTGCAAATGACTCACAAAGCTATTAAGTTGAGTATGACAGTATGACTGTTTCTGGAGAGCAGGAAGCCCTAGCATCTTCAAAGAACCCTTCTTTGTAGTAAGATGAGCTCATTTCATGCTTCCCATCCCTGAAATACTCAGGCATTTGCAGCTCTATTCGGTTCCAACATACCTGGCTACTAATAAATCAGCTGCAGAAGGGGAAACTGCAGAGCTCAGCAGGTCCGATTTCAGGTAACAAGCTGTTTAAAAATGAAACCAAATCACTCGTTTTGTAACATAATCAATGCAACATCAATCACCATAGTATCACATAGCTCTCAGCTCAACAAATACCTGCTGTATACTACAGTAGATCTCCATCACCCTTGCCCCAAATGACACAGGACACTTTTTAACTATGAAAGTTTTCTTTCACAACTCAGAGGTGTCCTATTTCATCATTCAAACCTTGAGATCTTGACATTTCCTTTCAGTGCTCACTGCATCTCAGAAACTTTTCTGTGAAGCCAGAGCTTGTTGTTTTGATCTCTGGCAGAAACAGGGATTCTAAGCATAAACCAGAGATGTCAAAGAACCAAAGATTCAGATCTGTTCTACCATCTTCAGCCAATCCACTACCACAGGAATGTTGCAAAAGTGTTTCATAGTAATTTGTCTAGTTAACATTTTGAACAACAGGATTTTTTTCTACAGAGCCATTCTTCTATCATTATTGCTCTCGTGGCAGACAACGCCTACTCCCTAGCCTAATGAATCCCATAAAAAAGGTACTATGTCTACATTTGTGCTCAAGCTAACTGACCAAGCCAGCTCTGAAGAGCTTCAGCTAGTTGGAATGAGGACATTCATGAGTATTCTCAAGGACTGCAGTACCTTTCGTCAGAAGGACTCTGATAATAAGGATGTAATTCTGGGTCTACTACAAGAGCTATACAGTCAGCTGAAGGAGAGAGGCAATGCACTCACCCCTGCACTCCTCAGATCCAAAATGAATTACAGCAGTTGGAAAGAGTTTAGCCTACAGCAAAAGGGGAAAAGAAGGTATCACTGAATGTAATGCTTTCACAGTTCACAGCGAACATTAGACAGGTACAGACAAACTCATGGAGTTCAAGCCAAGGTCACTGAACCATCTATAATTCAGAAAAAGTTAGACTTGTGCAGAGCACAAGTTGGAGTACAACATGAAGCAAAATTTTATGATCTGTTCTACCACACACAGGTGATGAGACCTGTACAACATGAGCTCACTGTGCCAGTGTCGTGTCCTGCCATTCCTTCTCCTCTGTCCCCATGTCTCCTGCCATTGTATTGTACACACATTCTCCACTGCTAAGCAGATAACACAAGAAGAATCTTCTAAGACCTGAGTGACTGATAGCAAGAGAAGAAAAATCTAGCTATGCCCTCCAAAATCTATTCTAGATCATTTTATTACATTTACACCCTAGGGTATCTATGTCTATGGTCGAAATTTGTCACTGAAATTTCACCAGCTTTCCAGGGTGCAGTATTTCCTTTTATAAATCCAGCCTGAATTCCTAGTTTCTACTTGTCAGAATAATCGCTATATTTGAACACTTTTTCAATCTAGTGGGTTTGGTTGCTATTTTTTTCCCTTATTTCAAAGGTAGTTCATGTGATTGGTATCCCATTTCCTCTTTTCTTTCACTGGGCACCGCTGGGAAGTCTGGCCCATCTCCCTTACTGTTCCTCATCTCTTTCATTGCATACATTGACAAGCCCCCTAGAGCTTCTCTTTTCCAGGCTGAACAACCCTGACTCTCTCTGCCTCTCCCCATGTGTCAGACGCATTGGTCCCCCATTATCTTTTGGTCCTTTGCTGGGCACCGGAGAAACTGTAAAACTGGACTCACAGTCCCCTAGTTCAACTAAAGAATCACAAATGCACCTGTAGGTAAAGGAGGGACCTACCTATGGAGGTTGCTCTGCCATCTCCAGTGACCACAGTGTCACACCACACCTTCATAAAACCCAGTGCTGGAACTAAGCAGTACATTATGTAGCACTACCCCACCATGTCCAGATGGTGTACCCAAGTGTTCCCAAGGGAAACAGAGGGCACCAAAGTCAAAATTACTGAACTTTGAACTAGAAACAGACACTGCTGCAAGCACAGGCTTGGATTTTTAAAAGGGCTTGAAGGTGATATGCAGAAGATTAATATGATATGGTATAACCAGCTGTACCAGAAAGGATTCTGAAAGAAAAATACTGTATTTATTACCTGCATCACATGTCAGTATAATACCACATAAAGAAAAACTAGCTGAAACAATTCTGTTAAGCTTTTAGGAAGCCTTGTACTAAGAAACAGGTAAATAAACCAAATCAGAGTGTAAACCAGATAAAAGCAACCCACTGCCTCACTTGGTATCACTCATGTGTACTTGGAAACCGTGCAGGGCAGACTGCCTGCTCTAAAGTTTTCCTGAGCCTCTGTTGCCACCATCAGCCCAGTCTGGATACTGGAATGACAGCCCTTGGACCTAATCCAGAACAGCAGTTACTAGAACTGTAGAAGAAGTAGAAGATCAGCGGAACCCTGATCTTCACAGAGGACACTGTGGACTGCTGCCCTATGCAGAGACTAATAAAACTGTATTAACTTAAGGCAAAATGAAACAGCTTCGCCCATCTTCCTGCCTACAAGCTTTAGATATGCATGTGGTATTACACGTTTTTTTGACATTAATCCAAAGGCTGTGGGAGACTGTCTCACACAGCATGGCCGACATCACACTAGACTGAAGCAGGAGACATTCGTTAGCCTACTCCAAGTCTCAACTCCTGATAAAGCATCCAGGAAATTTCATATCCTTAAACTGACATTTTAGCAAAAATAATTATTTATTAGGTCTTTTAACATTTCATTCCTCAATCAACAGGGCCTAAGGTTGCCTGCTCCAGTCACAAAGACGGCTCTCCATAAACTTTTTTAATTAAAAAGTACCAGACATGGTTTAAAACCCCAGAGAAAACTCTCACCAGAGCTTTGATGTTTTTGCTGCATTCGTCTATTTAGGAAATGGGTGCCTTAAAAAGGGCCCCCCCAACACACATACACTCAAGCCCTTTTACGCACAACATCCTTTTCATGCCAGCTGCAAGTTGGAAAATGAGGTTTTTGTAGTGTGTTAGTGTTGGAATTTTTTAATAACCTCCCCTCTCTTTTTTTCACCTCCTGCCCAATTATCTTGGTAAATAATTAACATTCTGAAGGAGATAAGTAAGCACAGCATCTCAGAGCTCAAAGCCCTTTAGTTCAAAGCCCTGCCCTTTTCTCTTAGTTTCCCTGCTGCCGCCACTGAAACTTCCTTGTCAATCAAGCTCTGGGCACACACATCAAAGCCTCGTGTGGGAATGGCCCCAAGGGGTCAGAGAAAATTCATGGCAAGGCCTGTGTGAGGCACAAAGAGAGAAAGAGAGTGAGAAACACAGAGCTAGACACACACTCAACCAACAAACACAGACAGACTGTGCCCCAATATAAACCTCTACCCTATTTACTCACAGGTTGTCAAATAACCATAGTTCTCAGTTTCAGGATCCACGTCCACAGCCATTTCCCACTGCTGGCAAAACATCAGTCCAAATGTTTCAGTTCAAAATCTTAATTGAAAGAAACTCAGAGGAGCTAGACAGCAGCCCACAAGTACACAGAACGCAACCTCCTTCCCATGGCTCCTTTCTCTGCATCCCTATCCCTTCCTAGGGGTCAGCCAACACAGTCCCCTCTTGCCAAACTTCTATCCAGTAAGTTCTTTTTCTTCAATTCAAACAGACTATTGGCTCATGCACAGAACCCTTGGTTCAGCTTCCTTTGTGTGGAATTCTCAGGTACCAATCCCAGCACTTCCTGAAGGCTCAGTACAGAAGGCAACTGCACCTCACTTCTCACCCCAGGAATTCTCTAGCCAGTCACTGGCAGGACATAATGCTGTCCCAGAGTTTCCTGAAAAACAGAAGTATTTAAATCAGCAGCAATTTTACTTTAAAAACAAGCAGGCCAGTGGAATGATCCCACTCTCCAAGGGCTGTCTTGGCACAAAGAAGAGAAGGCTTCAGTAGATGCCATGCAGGAAAACATGCAAGCCCAAAGTCAAAACCTCTAACATTTTCTAACACAGCTAAGAATGTAAGGATCACACACTGGCTGTTCTAATGGTTGCAGTTGTTCTAAGGCATCTGTCAATGTTTCTATAGGAACAACTCTGCAGTTCTTAACCTCACTTCATAGGATCCTTTTAAGATTATCTGTGAATCAGAACAGATTTTGAAAACTCTTAGAATCACACTAAGCCTGTCAGATTGAGTAAAAGAATCAAAGGCTGTCCAAAACAATTAAGTCAAAAAGCTCCATTCACTTATATGCGGAGAATTACCACAACAGGACTGAGCCAAGAGCCAGTTACTACACTCAAACACCCAGCATTTATTTTCCTTGCTGCTTTGATTTCCAAAGAAACAATGCCATTCTGACTGGGGAAACAGATGCTATTATCTATTGAATTATAATGTTCAAATCACACTGTGCAAGACATACTTACAAGATACAGTCAGATTTATTGTACCAACACCTAGAAATCGAACTGAAAATGGTGTTTCACTGTGCAATTGTATAGATGCAATATAGATGCAATTGTACAGCAACATGCAATATAAATAAAAATGCTTTGTGCTTGTGGGTTGGGCTTTTTTGTTGATTTTTTGGGCAGATAAAAAACTGAGACCTAATGAAATTAAATAACTTATTCAAGGTCAACAGGATGGCAGTAGATGAAATGAGAACTAAGTATGCGAGTCTCTAGAGCCCCATCCAAGGCCATAATCACAGGACAGCTTCTTCTGAAAGGATTAGAAAGCCACTGAGGTAAGGAGAGAAGGAAGTCAGTGTCCTGCGTATTGCTCGTCCTGTTTAGGAAGTATCATTCCAAGTGACCAACTTCTCAGATTTTAAAAAGATCTAACACAGCTTCATCCATTTGCTTAGTTAGAGTTGCAAAAGTTTAAATGAATGCTTTCCATTTCAGAGATCTGAAGACCAGCCTGTTACTCATAAGGCCACATTTAGTCTGAAACTATGCAGCTGAGTAACTTCAGTTTTACTCAAGAGAGGCAGCAAACAGTTACTTGGACACTGCAATGGTGAGCGCGGTTTGTGACAGCACGGCATCCTGGCACAGTGGGGCTGCTGCATCTTGCATTCTGTGATAAAAATATACACACTAGAACAACATTCCTGGGTGAATCCAGCTGTGATACAGCAGAGAAACATTTCTGCTTTGTTTCAGTGCATGTTTTAGGAACTTGTTCTCTGGAACACAGAAAATATTTCAGGCAGAACCCTCCCCAAATAATGCCTCAATACTTCCTCCTTCACAGACATACACATGCAAAAAAAAAAATCCTAGAACAGAGCACTGCAGACAATGTACATTATTCCCAGCAGTTGTTCTATTCTCTGACAGAGCAATGCTGTCAGACCAGGCAGGGGCTGCTGTCGAAGGGAACTCACAGCTGCCAGAAGGAGCAGCATTCTTTCCGTTACATGATCTGAGAGGATCTGCCACAGGTCTGCTGCTAGTTTGATGTTAGAAGATGAATAAGAAAATAAGCACTTCAAAGGAACACGCGAATGGAAGGAGAAACCCAAGCTACCAACATGAAATACTGCATAGTACACACACCCCAAACACATAAACTAGCTCTTGGAAAATTCAACTGGAAAGTCAGTGGATCAAAAGTTTCTCCAGCAAGACTGCACAGCATCGCTGAAACAGAAATAAACACCACAGCTATGGTGAAAGTGGCAGACCAAGTGGTTCATGTTTATAAGCTGAGAACAAAGCTGCCCAATGTAGACAGCAACTGCCAAAAAGGAGGTGGATATCCTGCAGCCACCACAGAGGAGTCTGATCCAGCTAAGACAGGGGACCTTTAAAATTCATAAGGCAAAGATAAGATTTGAAAACAGTTTTGAGAAGGCTACTTAAT